ACGAACGAATCAACCGATTTTGACCGGTCCAACGGTGATTGACATAGTTTTTCAAGCTTGAGAGCTGATAAGTTTTTGGAAGTGATCGGTGAAGCCATTTAAGAGATTTTTTGAAATAGTATATTACGACCCAAGGCTAGAAAGTTGGATTTCCTGGCGTATGTGATATGATGGCCGAGGCGTAGCCGAGGCTATCATGTCACATACGTCAGGGCATCCAACATTCTGGTCATGGGTTGTATACTATTTTTCTTGCTCTCCAGCCGAAAGTACGCAACCCCGGGGAAGGGGTTTTGCAAAACCGAGGCGAAGCCGAGGTTTTGCCGGGGGTGAGGGGGGCGCCGCCCGACTTTTGTAAAGCCGAGGCGAAGCCGAGGTTTTACTGGTCGGGGCGGGCATAATAAAAAAGTAAAAATTAATAAATAAAAAAAAATAAGTTATTTTAAAGTTTACTAACAAGCGCTCTGATTAAGAGAGATAACATGCACAGAACTTGTCACAAATATTTAAACTCGATTTAATAACAAAATTAATTTTTTTAAGTTGATTAAAAATTAGTTTTTAATTAGACGCTCGGGAAAAAATGATCAGATCTGATCAGACCTGTTCATATCTGATCAGGTCTGAAATTGAACCTGATCAGGCCTGTTCATGTATGATCAGGCCTGAAATTAGACCTGATCAGACCTGACCATGCCTGTTCAGGCCTGTTCATGCCTGGTCATGTCTGAAGCGTTAAATACGTTCAGACCTGATCAGACTTGTCCATGCTTGCTCATGCCTGTTCATGCCTGCTCATGCCTGCTCATGTCTGAAACATTAAATATACTCAGACCTGATCAGACCTGTCCATGTCTGAACACGTCTGATCTAGCCTAGAAATAAAGGATTTAAACTCCATATTTCAGCACTTTTCAGATTTGGTACATTGATTTATGTCTGTGAGTAAAGAAACATTTTATAAATTATAATTAATACATTTTACTCCATTTATTGATAAATTTACAAAAGATTAATAATTATGAGTGCGTAAATATACATGTACATACGTTTAATATTTAAAAAATTTTTCTTAACATATTTGGTCGTTGACATAAATAATTTCCCACTACAATGACATGAAAAATATTTTTTATCTGATTACAATTAATTAATAATGACGAATTGATTTTTGTAAAAGGAATAATATGATCAACTTGCACTAGCTTTGTAGAATGAACAAAATATTTACCGTTGTCTTCAATATATTTATCAAGGATAAAATATAATAAATTATCTTCAGTCAAGAAGAATAATTTAATTGATCCATAGACTGTAGTACTGTTTTTAAATTCAATTTGTACTGTTTGGCTATTAGTTTTTATAATTTTATAAATTTCAGACGTGTAAATTTCATTAAGAATTTTCGCTCGTGCGAATATTTTCAAATTTTTTATTTCAAAACCATAATTTCTCAACAATTGTTGATCATTACCTGTAAGAATTATCTTGTCTATACTTTTTCCAATTACTTGATGACTAGTTACTTCAACCGATGGATCAGAATTTTTCTCAATAATTTTACTTTTGAGTAATTGTAAAGCCTGAACTTCTGTTAAATGATTAATTATTTCTATATATCCGTTGAAACTCTCGAAACAAAAAGCTGCCGTGCCCCATAGTGGTCCCCATCGTCTGACACACAAAACAAGATGTCGAAGCTGGTGACTGTTGTAGGTTAATTCTCGATCCGAATATAACGTTTCAATTTCTTCTACAAAAGACGAAAATAAATATTCTGCTTCATTCATATCTTCTTTTGTAATAGTTGTTTTAAGTAGAATAAACAGTCCTTTGACTAGAAGCATCCAATGATCTAAATATTGAAGCTGTAAATAACCGTTTAACGCTGGAAGGGAATAAAATAATGTCCAATTGTAAAATTCAGATGCCTTAAAGTGTTTAAATAATGTTAATTTACGTGGCATTCTCCCAAAAAAATACGGCGGTCGAATATTTTCTAAGAAAGAATCAATTTTTATTATTAATTCTTTTTTTAGTTTCCATGGTCCTTTTTTCTCAGTCCACAAGCTTGCAAATTGTCGATCAACGCCTAACAAAACAGAGTGCATATATTCTGGAATAAAGCATGAACTTACATCAATTAAAGGCAGTTCCGCTACGCTTGAGTTCTCTTTAATTCCTTTAATATGATTTTTATCAGAATTCATAACTTTAATTACTTGATGTTTGATTCTGTTTTTAGTCCTTAGTTTAGCTTCTTTATATTGATAAACGCGTACTCTTCTTTTTCCTGCAACAACACTACATTTTCTTGATTTTATTTCACAGATATTGCAGCCATAACGGCCATTAAAGTTTACAACATTCTGAAGCTCAGCCCTTGCTGGCGCATCAGCTATTATCAATGGAACGACAATTCTTGAAACTATTTCTTCACCCGTCTTCGGATGAATCCACTTAATACCATCATTGAAACATTTTTGAAGTTTTTTTACAAATGGTTCTAAAAACGTATTCATATTTGGTTTACAATCTTTATCATACCAAAGTCCAACTGTAGTCAAATATAATTCTCGGAGGTATTCAGGAAGTTCAGCAATGAAAAACAATTGGCCAACAATGACTTCCACTACTTTTAACTAATGAAAGACCATCTGTATTCAACACTAGTGTTAAGTCATATCTTTGACGATTCGCCCGAGAATTAACTCTAATGTATTCAGATCCATTTGTAATATCAGTTATATTGCCATCATGCCTTAATTGTACTGGCATCAATTTTTCGAAAAGATTTCGATGTTCAAACATATGTTTGATGTGATCGTGAAGATCAATTTCAAAGAAAAATGCTAAATCTTTTTTTGATGCATGACAAGAAGAACAGGTTTCAATATTTGCATTGAAATTATTATAACATAAACATTTTTTACAGTAAAAATGTTTAATAACATTTAGTGGTGGTGCCAACTGATGAACATACTGAAATAGCTGAAACACAGTTTTTGGTAATCGATTATCCGACGGTAAAACACGCTGTAGTAATTCTAATATTTCTTTTAAGCACGCTTTCGTTAGTTTATTTTTAATGTATAGTTCCAAAACCATCAAAACACTCTCATCTTTTGTCATTGTACTATTATTATACAATAATTCCATAACTGTAGACGTTTCTTCATTTACTTTACTATCATCATGGTCATCTTCAATATTTTCTTCCAAATCAATATCAGAGCCACTATTGTTCTCATTAATATTATTATCACAATCAGATATATCTTGATCACTATCATTCGGATCAGAAAGACGATCAACATCATTGTCTGTACTGTTATCACTGTCACTTGTAGAAATATCAGTGCCGTCATCTGATTTTGAATCATCTATGATTTCTGTGATAGAATCTGTAGCCAAATTACATGCTTGGAGAGTGCCATCATCATTGATATTATTTGGTTTATTACATACATTTTTATCCCACCTTTGCAATGTCCTCACTGGTATCTGGAATATTAAATTTTAATATTTTAATTATTGTCAAAAAGTAAGAAAATTTTTAAGTAAATATGAAGAGAAAGAAAATTAATTTTTATACTTACAGGAACCGCATCGTTTTCTTTCCACAACTTGTATTTTTTTGACGGAGGTAATGATAAATTAACATCATTATTTTCTCGCAATGGTCTATTGTTGTCAGACATTTTTAAATTTATTGACTGAAAATAAATAAATTTTTAATCAATGATCAGAACAAAATTACGATTAAATATTTATATGACATAGAATTTTTTTTTAATTGTAAATAAATAAAAACTAATAATTCAAAAATTCAAATTTAAAAAAATTACAGTCGTACAAATTATTGTTTATTTTTTTCAGTAGATAGGTTATTTGCATTTTTTAAATTTTAATTTATTTATAATTTCTAAATTAATTTTCTTAATGATAAAAAAGTATATTATGTCTGTTAGATTTACCAGTCACAAAGTTTATGCAAATAAATATTTTTTTGTTTAAACATATCATATGGCATGAAATAAATAAATACCATACATAACCTATCTGTTGGTTATCATATTTTAGAGAGACAGAAAAGATTTGCTGATGATATTCTTACCTTGAAAGGTGATATTATTATTGCACTTTCTACAATATTTTAAATTAACACTGATGTTATATACAGTCGAAACTCGCTGTATAGGCCGGTCACACCACGAAAGTACGAAAGAAAGCGAGGCTCTGTGCTGCCGGCCAGAAATATGCGTAGCGCGCATGTGTAGAGAGCCGGCTGAGCCGGCCATAAATGTTGCTCTTCCTGGAGTAAAGTGCGTCCAGGATGAGCGTACTTTCGGCTAGGAGAGCAAGAAAAAATATTTTTTTTGAAATTTTTCGTTTTCGATATCTCACGAACGAATCAACCGATTTTGACCGTACCAACGGTGCCAACAATAGTCTTCTACTCTGCTTTGGCCCTCCGACGTTAGGCATCAATCGTGCGAGACTTGCCCTTACAACCAGTTCCACAGAGTTAGTTCGTCGGTAGCCACGCTGAGATATTCTTCTCTTTTGATGACACTCTTTACGAAGGGCGCTGATGTGGTCGTTCCACCAGTGAACGGAAGGTCTTGTGTTCATGCCACGTCTACGAGACATACTGGCGTCGCACGCCTGGGTCACTCTTATCATCAGGTCCTTAGTCTTCTCTTCTGAGCAGCCCGCGATAATCTGGTCACTATTGAGAGCTACTAACAATGCACTTGGATCAAGAGTTTTTACCTTCCAGCCAATGGAGTTAAGTTGCTCTTTAGGTCTTCTCGGGCTCTGGGCGTTTAATATTTCCCAGAGATGTGTGTGTGTGTGTGTGTGTGTGTGTGTGTGTGACTATGTGACTCGCTTATAACTTTTGAACGACTGAACCGATCGGAACGAACTAAACGGCGTTCTAAAAAGTTCCCTGAAACTTAGATTTCCTGAGAATTTGAACCGATTCGGACCGATAGATTTTGAGAAATTTTGAAAAATCTAAAAAAAAATAAGAAAAAAATTATTTTTGAAAGTGGTTTTTTTGGAATATCTTTCAAACGGCTATATCGATCAACTTCAAAAACTAATCCGCTCTTAAGGTTGAAAAACCACGCCGATCGTCGCTAATCCGGTCAAAATCGGTTGATTCGTTCGAGAGATATCGTGAACGAAAGAAAACCGAAAAAAGTGTTTTTTCGGGATTACTCCGAAATTTTTAGTTCGATCAATTAAAACCTGAAAATAACTTATGAGGATGATAAAACTGCGTCGAATGCCGCCAACCGCGTGAAAATTGGTTGATCCATTCAAAAGTTATTGCGGTTTGAAAATTCCAAAAATAGTGTTCTATGAAACTTCTATCAGACTTTTGAGCTGAGAAAGCTCAAATGCATAAAAATATTATTTCTTTGAACTCAGTGAGCTCAAAATATCCCATAAATTATATTTTGAGCTCAAAAATCTTTAAAATGTCATAAGTACAATTTTAAGCGCCCAAGAATGGAATTAGCGGGAAGTTGCAGGGATGGGCTGTAAGGTGAACCGTTTTTCTAATTTTTTTTTTTACTATTAGGTTTCTTATAAAATACGGAACAAAAAATATCTAAGTCATTTTTTTTTATCTCTAATAGTTCAAAAGATATTTAAATATTTTGTGTAAAAAGCTTAGTCAGAGCGAGAAATACGTGAGTTGCGCGCGTCGCTTCTCACGTACATGCACACACACATTCACTTACTCACGCTGTCTCTTACTGGCGCGCTTTTAAAAAGACTGTACTCTCTCGTCTCACTCCGTCCTTGTTTATTACTCACAAAAGTTGATTGCTGGTCCTTATTTTTTTTAACATTTAACTAAAATAATGTGAGATTGTGATATAATAAATAAATAATTAATCAATTTTTTTCATTAATGTTTATTGACATTTGTTAATATTAATGAAAAGATTCTATGATAGATAAAAACAAGAGGTTAAATTTTAGTTAATTCTTAGAAATTAAAAAAATGAATTTTTAATTTTTATGACCATGGGGATTTTGGCATGAATTGTTAGTGCAACACTTACAAAATGAAGTACAGTTTAAACACTTTTGTACACATCTGCAACTTTTCGTACTACATTTAATACAGCTGCATGCTGGTACTAAATCATCAATGGAGGGGAACAAATTTCAAATTTTTTTCGGGCAAATCTCGTTTTTAATAATTTCATAGCCAAAATCAGTAAAATTTAAGGGCACCTGATAAAAATAATTGAGTAGATTTAGTTGTTTATAAGTTATATACCAAGCACGAAGAATGTGTAATCTTATTGATGCACTTGTTGCTGATAAATTTTGTATACTAAAACTAGATCCATGATGGTATTCCCACCCTGATTTAAAAAAGTATTTAAAAGTATATATATATATATATATATATATACACAGTGTGTGAAAAGTATTGAAAAAGTATTGAATTACATACTTTTTCAATACTTTTCAATACTTTTTTTAATCAGGGCAATATCTTAATTCATTAAAATTTTGACAGGAACAACTTTTTTTAATAATTTAACTAGATAATTTTCAGCGAGTACAAGTGATTTCTCGATCTCCGAGTTGTAGGATCTAAGTAAAAAACGTATTTTTTAAATTTACATGTCATAATGGATAAATTACCTAAAGTTTATGAATTTTTACCTTTTCCGCAGATTGATAGGTATTCCATAGGATTATTGTTGATAGCTGCTTGCTTTGTACCAATTCTACTCGTATAGAGGGACCCTGTTAAATTATGTACTGCTACAATTGTTAACAACAGTTCTGGCGGAAGTTTTTCAGCCAAGATGTGAATTCCAATTACTTTTTTTTTATAACTGCATGTATATTCATACCATAATTCCTAATAAATATTACGAAAATGTTAATAAAAAATTTTATAATTTGCGAATGCGCAGATTACTGAAAAACCAAGAAATATAAGGCAATTTTATTTTGAAAAATCTGTCCACCACGAATATCATTTATTAAACTTTTATTAAAACTTACTGTAAGTCCCTGTGTAGCCCAAGTTTTCCAATTTTGTGATAAAAGAGCTACGCAGTCGGAATCCTCACCAATAATTTTGATTTGTTTATGCCCTTCATTCACAGCATGATTTGTATGAATCATTATCCGTTCATGAACTTCATCAACAAATTTATTTAGCATTTGAATACTAGTATTGCTTCAACTCTTCTAACGTTTGATGTTTCACATTCGTTATTTTTTCCGTTGATCATAATCTCTGTGTTTCCTGGAAAATAGCTGAAATTTTTCATTATAAAGTCAAATAAGTAGTTTTGAACTAGCATGCAATTTGTTTCAGAACACCAAAATTTTTTGTCTTGGAGGTAGTTCAGTCTCATCGGTAATATCATTAAGCACAATTGATTCACTTGAATTTCTGAAAAAGAAGAAAACAAAAATTTAAATTAGCAAAAAAGGAAAACTTTACAAATTAAATCGTCTGTGGAATTGAACATATGGTTAATAAATTGTATTATCTTCACTTCAAACATGAGTTTTTCAATCTTGGTATCTTCAATGAAAATGTTTCAATGATTAAATCCACTCGTAGAACTCTGTTGTATATCATCCCAGATATCACTTTAATAAAATGCAAAGCCAATTCATTGAATGTTCTTTTAGATAATAATTTCCATTTAATTTGTTGACAAATATTTAAAATATTAACAATTAAAATTGAATATTGCACTGTTCCTGCATGTTTATATCCTGCTTTTAAAACCAATGCGTGGATCAAGGCAAATTTATTTTTATCAAATGCTATTGTACCATAATTTTCATAAAGAGGATTCGAATTCGTTAATTCATAAGATAATAAAACATTTAGATCATAATTTCGCTCCCTTGCTAACTCAATGATTCTTTGTGATGCTTGTAAATTTATAGTTCACGATTCTTTTTTATCGGTACATTTTTTTTTGTATTTATTAAAGCTAAATTAGTTTTTTTCAACGGATCTAACAAATTTCTCTTTTTTTCAGCATAAATACGTTCTTCACAAAAACTCTTGTAAAGATTACAACCAGTCTCAAATAAATTTGTCATAGCTATAGCGTTTTCACTTGAAAACAGTTCTCGAGTTGTGATATTCATTAAATCGTTTGCTTCAGGAGCAAAAGGATTCACTTAGCTTTCTAAACATGACGCCATCTTCTCTACTAATAACTCATTCTGTTTGGTTCTTGATTGAGATCTTTCATAATGTGTTTGTAATTCATAGTTATCGTCATGAATGTCCGTAATAATACTTAATAAATTGTCTATCGATAATTGCTCATGGTAGACTAAATTCCACCTTGTAACATAATCTTTCTTCTTTTCCGATCCAATGATACCAGCATCACTTTTAGAAGAACGATTAATTGTACATTCGAGCCCTTGATCAGGAGAAATTGACGTAAACGGAGTGTTAGTTTGTTTCACTGTAAATTTCCCATTCTTAAAAGCCTGATAAAAATCCGGAAAGATGAGAGGTAGAGCGTCAAAATCTTGTACACACAAAGGAAACCATCGAGCATAATTTGTACGATCTAAGGAGAAAAAAATTAGAAAAACGGTTCGCCCTAAAGGCCATCCCTGCAACTTCCCGCTAATTCCATTCCTGGGCGCTTAAAATTGTACTTATGACATTTTAAAGATTTTTGAGCTCAAAATATAATTTATGTGATATTTTGAGCTCACTGAGTTCAAAGAAATAATATTTTTATGCATTTGAGCTCTCCCAACTCAAAAGTCTGATAGAAGTTTCATAGAACACTATTTTTGGAATTTTCAAACCGCAATAACTTTTGAATGGATCAACCAATTTTCATGCGGTTGGCGGTATTCGACGCAGTTTTATCATCCTCATAAGTTATTTCTAAGTTTTAATTGATCGAACCAAAAATTTCGAAGTAATCCCGAAAAAACACTTTTTTCGGTTTTCTTTCGTTCACGATATCTCTCGAACGAATCAACCGATTTTGACCGGATTAGCGACGATCGGCGTGGTTCTTCAAGCTTAAGGGCGGATTAGTTTTTGAAGTTGATCGATAGAGCCGTTTAATAGATATTCCAAAAAAACCACTTTCAAAAATGATTTTTTTCTTATTTTTTTTTTGAGATTTTTCAAAATTTCTCAAAATCTATCGGTCCGAATCGATTTTAATTCTCAGGAAATCTAAGTTCAAGGGAACTCTTTAGAACGCCGTTTAGTAGATTCCGATTGGTTTAGTCGTTCAAAAGTTATAAGCGAGTCACACACACACACACACACACACACACACACACA